AATTTCTGAAATGATAACTTCATTTGACAGTTATCTTTTACCTTGACTGGTGCTCATAAATAAATACAGGGCCATAAGAAAGAAGAAATATTTAAAAAGAAATTGGCGATAACTCGTAAACGAACTAATCAAAAATATCTAAAGTTATTCTTTTGAATGTGGGTTTTAGTGCTCTTCAATAAACTTAAATAGAATTATTCTCTAAAATAATTAGGGAAGCCAATAATTGACCCCATTAAAATTTACATGGGATTTCCTATGTCCCGTCCGGCGATGCAACACCCGGTATAACCATTTTAGGACATGTATGTATATCAACTTTTTCACTTATTTTTATCTGTAGAATATACAGCACCCTGTATAACTGCAAAAACAAAACGACATCTTGAAATTCATCAAAAGCTCGTCTGAAACGACTGTATTTTTAATTATTTCATAAACTTATCCTGTAATTTTTTTGACGATATGTACTTTACAGCGATATTATCGATAAGATGCAAGTTGATGCATATAAATAACAAGTTCAAGTAGACAAAACTGATAAAACTATTATTAAAAAAAATCTAAACTCAAAAAACATCATATTGTTAACTAATTGTTCCGTCTTGAAACTTGATAACGTTCAAGGAACAGATAAGATATCAGTGAACAAGTCTTAAGTACCTTTATTAGTTCAAATAAAAATGAATAATGTTAAAAAATACTTACACTACAAGGTCCTAATTCTGTAAAAGGTTCTGAACACATCTGCAGTGGGATTCTGTAAGCTCCGTAGCAAGAAAGTTCTTGCCTAGCCTATGTTATTTGTATACGATTGATGTAGTTGTAAAAAAATTTTGGTAAAAAAACTGACAGATCCTTAATGACAAATTATATAATAAAAATAATAATGATTGTAATTATATGTTTTTTCGTCATACTATATTGTTATATTATTATAACATAAGCAAAATCAGAATGGAAAAGATGCATATAACGTCCGCCGGACGTTATCATAACGGCCGGCGGCCGTTAAGTTTCTAAGGTAATCGTAACGTCTGTCACCTGCAACAATGACTATTTATTGTCAGTTGGACTTTTCAAAAATTGGGAAAATAGACCATAGCGAGATGTCGCGAGAAATTCCGTTGGAAATACAGGAGGAAGCGGCTGCGGCTACTCAAAATTTACTTCCGACTATAACCAGAGAGAGATATCAGCAGGAATATGACAATTTTTTTGAAGTGGCGGCAGGATAGAAGTATAAACAGCGTAAATGAAGCGGTATTGCTGGCTTATGCTAAAAGAATGTCTGAAATGTATTCTCCTACATCACTGTGGACAAAGATATCCATGCTGAAGCTTGCGTTGAGAGTATATGAAAACATCGACATATCAAGGTAAAAAGCCATTATATTCTTCGATATTTAATCATACCTCATCTAAATTATATTTGTTCATAGATTTGGTAAACTGTTCATGTTTCGAGGCGCAAAAACGAAGGTTATTCACCAAAAAGCCAAAGTTCTGTCGGAGAATGACATAAATAATTTTCTACTGGATGCCGATGATTACACCTGGTTACTCGAAAAAAATTGTATTGGTGCTTGGTATTCTTGGAGCTTGTAGGCGCAGCGAGCTTTGGTCACTCACAGTTGATGATTTCGAAGATTCGGAGAAAATATTCTTGTCTCATTAAGAAATACTAAAAATAAGAAAGATAGGAAATTTCTTATTCCAAAAACGGGCCTTCCGTTTGATGCCTATGGTTTATACAAAAAATACATCAACCTGCGTCCTCGTAACTTTGGCAATCCAAAATTTTTCATTGGTTACAAGAAAGGCAAGTGTGTTAAGCAAATCGTCGGTATACATACCATCGGGAGCGTACCGCAGAAAATTGCAAAATTTTTTGAACTTGGAGAATCCAGAACGTTATACAGGGCATTCATTTCGTAGATCATCAGCAACCATGCTCGCCGAAAATGGTGGTGATTTACTATCGCTAAAGGAGCTAGGAGGATGGGAGTCTTCAACAGTGGCAGAAACTTACATAGAAAAATCAGTTTCCAAAAGAATGAAAATAACAAATCAACTTTTTCATGATAGCTCCAAAAATAATGTGTCTTTAGTGGATACAAATATTTGCCATTCTTCAGTAGCATCATCTTCTTCTATAAAATCTGTAAATCCCTGGGAAGGATTACAGATTTCTAAGAACAACAAGTGCACTTTTAATTTCCATGTTCATTATCATGAAAAATGAATTTTAGTATAAGACATTATGTATTTTTTATCCTTACTTGTGTTATTGTTCAATAAAATTTGTTATTAAATAGTAGTGTTTATTGCTCTAAAAAATCTGCAGTATGACGAAAAATCTAGAACGCAACACGGCCGATAACAAATAACGGCCTTGGCTGCTTATGATCCTCGGCTATCGCCTCGGATCACAAACTTCAGCCCGGCCGTTATTTGTTGTTTATCGGCCTTATTACGTTAATAACTATAACTATAATCTTGCACATTAAATATAACATGTTCTATTCTTTAAAATTTGATGTTCTGTTCGAATAAAATTAATTGTTATAATTGCTATAACTTTATTATTTTTCAGATAAAACAAAATTTGGTATGTTAGTATATGACATAAATTAGGACTGATTGACATGTCCAATTGTTTTCGGTCATTTCCGGTGAAACCTACAACTTTTGATTTTTAAATGGCACCCTCGGTATATTGCTACCTTATTCGATAGAAAATGACACTCTGAATAGAATGACATTTCATATGTCAACTTTTGACATTGTCGCTTAAATTCGTATTAATATGGCTGTGTAAAAACATTAATTTTTAATCAAGGAGTCTTGGAAAAAATAAGCCGAGTCTCCACCATAAAATAATTAACTAGAAAGAAGTGTCAACTCTGTGTTAAATCTTGGAAACACGATACGCCACCGAAAGCCTTCGTTGTCGTCTGGAGAACTAACTTTCCAATTGACAGGTTGACATGATAAGGTCATGATGGCTTAATTTTCATTTCCGTTTCCGGTTATTCAATGGCGGGCCCTCTTTCAGTTCAAATGTATTTTGTATTTTTTCTTTTCATAAATAAAACCAAAAAATAATTTATTCACATATATTTATTTGAAATATGGAACAACGTGACTAAATAAATATAAAAATATAGAGGATTGTATTGTTTCAATACCAATTAGTTAATTATATGCACTTTTAACGTAAATTAGTTAAGGTATAAGCATGACTTACAGTAATTTGTAAATAAACACACGCATTCGCAAACTTCAAGGACAGAAAACGGACACAGGAATATGAAAACGGGAGCCTTATACAAAAACCTGAAAACAGAAAAACAATTTTTTTATACTAAAATTAACAATGTAAAAATATCAATAGGTATAAAATATAAATATACTGTTTAAAAAAAGCGTCCATTATTCCCAAAGAACCTGGCTTATAAATCAAAAAGATGCAAAAAGAGACTTTTAGTCGGATAACATAATCAGATTATCAGTCCGATTTATTGCATTATTGACAATAAATCGCACATACTGGAGATAACTAATGTTGGCTATAGTTAAAAATGATCTTACCTTGCTGTAAATTGTTTTCATTTTCAAAAAAACAGTGTTTATTTACTACCTATTTTTCATATACATGGGACATACCTACTACTGCATAAACGTCATTTTCTCCAGGATTCTTCATGTAATATATATTTTATATACTTTATTACCTTTATTTTTATAAATTTCAGCCGAAATATTAAATTGAACTTCCAAAACGAAACTAAACGGAATGAATTAAAATGGCGTCGAATATTTTCGAATTTGTTCTAGAACAAATCTGAAGTTGTCTCTGAAACTGAAACCTGTCAATTCTAAACTGTGAAGTTAGACAATAGTTAGACAAAAACAATGCTGTCCTTGTCTAGGCGGCCATACTTGTCGTGAGGAGAATGACAGGAATGACACTAATGACTGTTTCCAATTTTCCTATTTCACTGTCACCCCCCTGGTCTCCACCAAAGAAACATTTGTCGGCAACTGTGTCGCCGACTAGTGTTGTCGACAATGTTGCTGAAAATTCAGTAAAGTCGTCGACATTTTATGTCGCAGATTTAAGTCGCCGACTTTGTTTCATGTTTCGCTGGAGTAGCGGCACATCAAAGAAAAATCGTGTCAACGATAATGTTTACAAACATGCCAAAAAACGTCTCCACCGAATCAACTCCTATTTTTCCTATTATTATTATTCACTTCCCCAATAAATTAACGCACCACAAAAAAATAACCAAAAGTTTAAGTTAATTTTTTGTCAAAACCACTTATCCGATTTGGACGATTTTTTTTTGAATGATAGGTTATTCTTTCCACAATGTTGCTATACTAACTGTATTTTGATAGGAACCCTTTTTATACTAATACCGGGTGTAGCAATTATAACGTGTTTTTTAATAAAATTTGTGACCCTGTAGAGTTGATCAGTTACAGTATCAAGTTAAAATTGAAATAACATTTTAGCCTTATCTTTTTTTTACATTTTGTTTTATTATTTACTCCATTATCTTCCTTATTACACGAGAAAGAACATTTTATAGGATGACATGATTTAATATTGGTTTTAATCTTTGAATAAGAAGACTAAGAAAGGAGCATATCAAAAATCTTAGGTACACCGCGATGGGCCTCAAATATGGCCGACTTAAATTCCGGTTTATCAGTGCCGTTCTAATTTTATTTAAAAAAATGTAAAACTATGATGTAGGGTAGACGTGGGATAGACTCAATAATTTGTTGTTTTATTTTAGGTTGTGAATAAATGTTGGTAGTTTTGGTTTGGTTTTATTAAAATTGTTATAAAAATATATAATTCTAATAAAAATAGATAAATTATAATAAGTATTTATTAACACAAACATCCGATACGCTACTGAAGCAGGTAAGTCAAATTAACGTATCTAAATTCTTTGACATCTAATCTTTGACAAGTAATTATGGAGTCTAAAAGGAGGAGGCGAATCGAACGCAAAAATTATGGGCCCAGTTTTTGAGATCTAAATGAAGTTCGAAAATCGCCGTTAGGGGCGCTTGTGATGATTGGGATACTAGAAATACACAGCTTCTTATGGCAAGAATAACTATTTTGTTATAAATTATAGAGCCAAGTTAATATTTGGGCATATTTTTACCAGAGTTAGCTTTTAGAAACGTGGTTTTTCTAATTGAGCAATGTGCGTGGCTAAAATTGTGAATACAAAACCTTAAATTTGAGTTTGAAAAGTTAGTTAGGTTATATTAGATGCCGGTTTAATATATCCTTTTCCTAAGTTGATATTATAAAAATGTTTTATTATGTGGTTCTTTTTAGTGCATACACGACCGAAGAAACATATAAGCTGCTAAAATAAATCTTCCCTAGAACTGTTGTACAAAAAAGATAGAAGTTCCAGCAACAAATTTATCACCAGTTCAACCTTTGATTTGATGTAAACAGTAATTGTTTCTTGATGAGAAATGCGAATGAAATAGTTTATGGTGTGATTGTGTTAGTGTTTTATTAATAGTTTTGTTGATGCAGTTTAAAGGTTCATAGTTTTTCATTAAAACATTTGAAATTGACATGTTTACATGCAGTTTAGTGTGATACCATTTTAATAAACATTAAAATCTTTCGAACTAGTAGTGGTTTTATGGCGATTGACAGATTGAATAACGAAAATTAAGAGTATTTTATCAGGAATAACTTAATCATAAATGGAAACTGAAGACGAACGTTACCATTGCACCCTTTGATCGGTGTTATCTATTCCATAACTTTTTATAGCTGAAACTAGAGAGTAGGTATATTGAGCTGAAACGTTTCCTGTGTTCAATAGCGTTTTTTCTAGCGTTGAATTGTAAGTTTTAATGTCATTAGCAAAGTTTTGCAAATTGTCACTGTTTCGTAGACAATTAAATTCAAGATATATTATATTCAATGTCACCTAATAATTGTAAAGGTTTTTCTATTGATATTCACTTTATTAATATAAGGTAGGTTTGTAAATAAAATATTAATGAATAAATAATGTACTCAGTTTATTTCAAAAGCACAAAAATACAGAGTTGTGAATATGTATATACGCTGACTTATTTCATCATATAAATATTTATTTAGCAATATTAATACATTACAACTTTTGTTTCTATTAACTAATTCCACTAAATTTAATAAATAAAATATACAATATATAAATTTAATATACAATTTAGCACTTAGATATTAAATATCTATATGTACTATGCCAAAAAATAAAACAGGAACATCATATTATATCAAGAACACAAAAAATTACAATTTAAAAAAAATGCATTCTAAAAAAATACCTAGCTACAATATACCTACATATTAATTTAAAGAGCTTATTCATATTCATAAAAACTATTCTAAATGGTTTATATACACAATCAAAAGTATCAACCACAATACAATAATTTTCAAATTATTTCTTATTATTCCTCAATGAAAAAGCGTCTTGCGACGGCTAGTCAAAAATCTAAATAATTTTTATAATAAATTTACAATCTGACATATGCAAACTATTTTTCAAATTTGTGAACATAGTAACTCTACTGTCTGTAACATCAACTGGCACATTAGTAATATCACGAAGAATTTCATTCTCATTCTCAAAGTTAGGTTCTGAAGTTTGATTTTCAACATGATTAATAGGCAGACCTTTTACTTTTTTTGAATTAGAAACTTTTTCAGTTGCTTCACTCCTTACACATGGTGGTTTCCTCTTTCTTTTATTACTAGAGAAATATGAAGGCAGGTTAGGAAAAATTCTTGGAATTGAACCCTCCTTTAATAATGGTCTACCCCGCTCAATTCTACTGATAGTTCCGTCAGTTAATTTGATCTCATAATGAGTCAAAATATCTTCATCTAGAAAATGTAGTTCACAAACAGCATCTTTGCTGCTAAGTGTCTTGTCTGATCTGGGTATCGCCTTTTGCCACTGCTGTAGCAAGCTAGGATCCTAATAAAAGATATATAATTGTTAAATAAAATAAAAAAAAAACATTTTTCACTATTAAAGCTGTTATTTTGAGAATACGATCTTGAAGTATAAATATTTAATATTCACTTTCAATAGCACTGTTCAAACTGTGGTTAATATAGGTACATGTCAACAGGTAATTTTAGCACCTAGTAAGTATTAAATTATTTTAATTTTATAACAAGGCCTCCTAGGTTATGTTATACACATGTTGATTTTAGGCTATATTTCCTATTAATTTGGTTTATAATTTAATCTGTACACTGACAGTATATAATTTTAATGTTTTTCTTAACATCTATCCATAATTTTTATAAATAAATAGTCATACTACTTACATTAGGAGCTTTGAAAAGGCTTGGGTTTCTTTCACCCCGTTCTTTATTTGCCTTGTTTTTATTGGGATTCCCACTTGTACAGCCAGGTACAAAGCAATTTCTACCACGACTCATTGTTGTACTGCTAAAAATTCAGTAAATTAACTATAAATTTTATTAAAAACACAATTAAATCGTATACTAACAATGAAAATGTAGTATCCCAGTCGATCGCAGTGCCTCTGCTGTCAAACCGAGGAAGCTGCTTAAAAGTGGGGACAGAAATTTCAAATTTGCCCATTGCCGATAAATCTCCTTTTTTAAGCCCTCCATACAAGTAATAAATAAAAGCTAAAATGCAAGAAAAATATATAATTTAGTTAATTTAAGTGAATTTCATAAATGATCGGTTTACTACACGTATGTATATTATATAGTCACTTACTAGCGAAAAGTTGTTCCATTATTTCACTCAATTTTTGCCGAGATCTACCGCATGCTACACAACCAATTTTTTTAGTCTTTTACGATAAATCGCGATAGTGTCACTGTTAATTTAAGTTCTGCCACAATTTCCATCTAGATTTACTACCTTTATACAACGATCAGTAGTAGAATAAATAATAAATAACATAAAATAAGCTCCGTAAAGACTGACAAATCCACAAAATTTCAAATCAAATTTAAATGTGTCAAATGAATCGTCAAACAGAACTGTCAAGGATCCCCACCCTAGAGAGCTTTTATGGTGCCTTTTCCGCCCACCATGCATGAATACATCGATAGCATTATGCTCCTTCCTTAGTCTTCTTATTCAAAGGTTTTAATTAACATATTTTTTCATTTTACTCACTAAAGTAAGTAGCAGGCTATGGAAAAACACGGATTACCAGTAAATGTCAAATAGAGTTGCTAGTTTCTGTGCAAACTTGTAGACCATTAATATCTCTGAGCTGAGTTTGAAGGGTCCGAGCTATTACGAGACGTTGTCTTAATGTTGAGAGTTTTAAAAAACGTTCCTGAATCGGATTGGTTCTTCGATTCCTGCCTTGTCCCGGCCTGCGACAATTGTATAACTCGTGAAATGGTTGAGTGAGTTACATTAAATCGTTCACCAACCAATTAGCTCCAACCTTCCTCAGACAATATTAATGCTTGAACACATTCTTCGCCAGTAAGATTTCTTGTTTCACGTGCACGTTGCATATTTTTGATATAATAAAAGAACGAAAACGACTGACACTGACAACAAGCATCTCTATTTGACATTTACTGGTAATCCGTGTTTTTCCATAGCCTGCTACTTACTTTAGTGAGTAAAATGGAAAAATGTTAATTAAAACCAATATTAAATCATGTCATCCTATAAAATGTTGTTTCTCGTGTAATAAGGAAAATAATGGAGTAAATAAAAAAGCAATATGTAAAAAAAAGATAAGGCTAAAATGTGATTTCATTTTTAACTTGATATTATAACTGTTCAACTCCACAGGTGTCACAAATTTTATTAAAAAAACACGTTATAATTGCTACACCCGGTATTAGTATAAAAAGAGTTCCTATCAAAATACAGTTAGTATAGCAACATTGTGGAAAGGATAACCTATCATTCAAAAAAAAAATCGTCCAAATCGGATAAGTGGTTTTGACAAAAACTTAGCTTAAACTTTTGGTTATTTTTTTGTGGTGCGTTAATTTATTGGGGAAGTGTATATAGTATTTTCCTATTTTCCTTAAGTTCAGTTATTAGTGCATCACATACTTCTGGTATTATTTTTGAAATCGTCTGCTTTCCACATTTGAAAAGATAACCAAGGCTAGTATATGAATCCCCAGAAGCCAAAAATCTAAGCGTAATAGCAAGACGCTCTTGAACAGGAATTGCATCTCGATAATTTGGGTCCATTTTACAAATCCTGGGACCATTCATTTGAAGCAATGATTCAAAGTCAGCTGAAATCATTCTTAGAAAATTCTTGAAATTACTTCTTGTTTCATTGTGGAGCGGATTTAAGTCATCTGTACAAAGATCAGTGAGCAAGTCACTACCATTATATAAATTTCTCCTCTCCTTATGTCATATATTGACATACCAAATCTCATTTTTTTATCTGAAAAAATAAAAAAGTTATAATAGGGGTGAGCCACTTTTGAGACGCTGTATATCACATATGATATCTATACTAATATATCAAATCCTTAAGTGACGCTCCTCACGATCCTGCTCAAACCACTCAACGTAAGAAGCTCAATTTTGGCATACAAATTGATTCTAGGGTGTAGAGGTTCGATAAGAAGGGATTTTTCGAAATTCCAGTTCCAAGAGGGTGAAACCACCCCTCAAATATTACAATATTTTTTATTTAAAAAACGATCAAGTTTCCGAAAAAACGCTTAAACACGTATATTTTATTTTGTTTTTTTACATATTTTAAGATTTTTTAAAAATGTATACAGGGTGTTTGGAAAAATCTGGTCATTGATTAATCACGATCCTGCTTAAAGCGCTTGACGTAAAAGGCTGATTTTTGGAAAACAGATTCGCTTTAGGGTTCAATAAGAAGGGATTTTTCGAAACTCGAATTCTAAGGGGGTGAAACTATCCCTCAAATATTAAAATATTTTTTATTTAAAAACCGGTGAGTTTTTCGGAAAAACTCTTAAACACGTATATTTTATTTTGTTGTTTTACATATTTTAAGATTTTTTATCAATTTATACAGGGTGTTTCATAAAATATGACCATTGCGAGTAATCACGATTCTGCTTAAACTGCTTGACGTTTAAAGCTGATTTTTGGTAAACGGATTGACTGTGGGATGTAAAGGTTCGATAAGGAGGGATTTCTCGAATCTCAAATTCCAAGAGGGTGAAAACGCCCCTCAAATATTACAATATTTGTTATTTAAAAAACGGTTAGTCTTTCGGGAAAACCCTTGGGGACAAGCATAATTTATTTGTTTTTTTTACATATTTTGAAATTTTTAAAAAAATCATACAGGGTGTTTCAAAAAGTTGGGTAATTTCTTAACCACGATTGCTTAAACTGCTTGACGTAAAAAGCTTATTTTTGGCAAACGGATTTTTCGAAAGTCAAATTCCAACGAGATGAAACTATCCCTCAAATATTACCAAGTTATATAATAATATCGCCATATTGTTTTTTCTCATGCTGACATAAATGTGAGAAAATTTTATCCAGTTTGTATGTTAATAGAAATTCTTGCTTTGCTTTATCATCACCATTACCAATGATTAATTCGACGCGAACGAAGTCGCTGGTACACGCTAGTAATTTTTATATATTTCTAATACCGTATGATCGAATAAAAACGGCGTCAGCGATGGCTATGAAATGAAGATCGCTGTCATTTTATATATAGTTTATATTAGAAATGTCATCGATCGTCATTTCCAAGCCAACTGGACGCCATTTTTTTTTCGATCATACGGTATATGAATAATATGCTTATCTAACGTTAATACGTATTAATATTTTCATAATACTTATATCAAAAAAAAAACTGTTATCAATGATCGGAAATGCATTAGTTGAAATTCGCCAAACTATACAATGCAATTATTTCTCATATAAATAATATTGCATTTTATAACTTTATAATTTATAATTCGGTAATTGTCTTATTATATATCTAATTAATTTAATTTAAGTGGTTTTTATTCTCATCAATACCTACAATATTTAAAGACTATAGGATGCCGAACAGGTCAAGACCCAATATTAGGAAAACCAATTAAGGATTAGAGACAAAACAGCTGCACGTACTCATATTAGTTTCTCCTATTACTAAACTAAATTCAGCTAATGGTATTCGAGCTTAAATCACATTATTATGATTCACATATAGATAAATCAATAAAAATTGGTGTGCACGTCACGAAAGACGTCGAAATTCACTTATATTGATAAAATGAGTTACAACTTTTTGTAATATGGAGTGGTCAGAATTAAAAATGGATGAAGTCCAAGTTCTTACTATTTAAGATAATCGTCTTTAAACGTTTATAAAACACGATTTTTCCAGTAAAGAAATGAATCAAGTCATACTTCACGCATTAAGTAGCTCTATAGCCTGTTTCTGTTTAGTTTCTGAATATTCTGTTGATTTCTTTCCGGAGCGAAATGGACCAAATCAACGCAACGCTGCAATTTAACGCTGTGCGTGATTTTAACAAACGTGCTAAGTTTAGAGCTAACATTTTTTTTTTTTTTGATAAAATGGATGACAATGAAACAAAGATCCATTTGTACCAAGTGAAGATTGTACCAGATTATCAGCCATCTGAAAGGTCTGATTCTATCGATGTTAACATGTTGTTTATCTGAATAAAACCGCACCAGGAAAATGAAACAACATGAAAGATCTTCCCTTTATCCCGCCTATATACCGTATTTTTTTATAAAAATCGAAGAAAACACTATTAATAGAAAAAGTCAATGAATCCCTTAATGACGAAGAAAAATGTACCGGCGATTAACCAATTTATATCTAAAATTTCAAATATTTTCAGAGATAAAATGGTTTACATCCAAAAAAGTATAAACAAACATCCTTAAAAACGACCACAGTTGTCTTTTGAGTTACTTTAGTTAGCAATTATACAATTTAAAATATAATAAAACATTGTGTCAAGTTTTCTTCTCCAGCTTGTTTTATTTTAATTATGTAACATTAAAAAAAGCAATAATTATTCCTCTGCATAAAGGAGGAGATAAAGATTAAGCTTCGAACTCTCCTGCCCACATTATCTAAGATCATTGAAAGATTGGTAAAAAAAGGCTTCTATCTTTTCTCCTTAAATATAAAGTACTTACTACCCATCAATTTGGATTTCTAAGTAACAGTTGCACAAATGATGCTATGTTCGACCTTTTTAATAATGTATACTCTAGCCTGAATGACCATCACTCTACAGCTACAATTTTCTGTGATTTCTCTAATAAGACTTTCGACTGTGTAAATCGTAATATCTTAATTAACAAATTGCAATACTATGGATCCAGGCTTAAGTCATATCTTGACAACAGAAGGCAGCTTGTGAGGATTGATACGTCTATGTGGTGTCCCTGTTTATCAACGACATTACACTTCTAGACATTAGCGGTAAAATCTGTCTTTTTGCGGACGATACTAGTTTCACTTGGAGCGGCCCAGATGTTACGGCACTATATAATACTATATCCAGTGACTTACGCACCATTAAATCTTGGTGCGATTCTAATCTCCTATGTCTCAACCTTTCAAAAACTAAAGTTTTGTCACATAAAAGTACTATACAACCTTTTGTACTTAATAACACCACTTAACCACTATTGACGTCGTGGAGAGTAGAGGTAGTTGGACGATTCTACGCCAGTGGAGGTGGAGGAGGGACACTGCGCATGCGCGAGGGGGAGGGGCTGTCACCTGTCAGACGTCAAACCTGTCACCTATCAAACGTCAAACCTGTCAAATGTCAAACGTCAAACCTGTCATCTGTCAAATCTATCTTACGTCATTCTTACAATGTATTTTTCCGTTCTGTTATAATAATAATGATACTAATGTGAAATTCTTAGGACTTGTTGTAGACAACTCGTTAAAATGGGACTTGCACATCGAAGCTTTATCAAAGAAACTAAGCGCTGCCTGTTTTGCGCTAAGATCAGTTTCTAACGAACTTAACTCATCAACCTCTAGAATGGTCTATTCTGCCCTGTTTGAGTCGCATCTTCGTTATGCCCTTTCATTCTGGGGTACTTGCTGCGCGACAAAATTTGATCGTATTTTCAAACTTCAAAAGAGAGCAGTTCGTTACTTATTGGGACTGAACAATAGAACTCACTGCCAGAAATTTCAAAATACTGACTCTTCCTTATTCATTTTTGAATCCGTTTGCTTAATCCGCAAGCACATATCTGCTATTCCGGAAAGGCCATCTCATAACTATCCACTTAGGAATGCGGAGCACGATCTTTATCTGCCAACCCCGAGCTCAGAACTAGTTAAGGGCTCAATACTGTACAATACCAAAAAATGTACAATTATTTGCCTTTGAATATCAAGTCACTTTCATTATTCTTTCCCGCACTTCGCAAAGTTCTGGAATCATACTTACTGGAGAGGAGTTACCCCCTTACCCTAGTATCCTACAGGCAGAAATCTACGCTATCGAGAGATGCGTACAACTTATCTTAGATAGGAACTATCGGAAACAAGAAATAGCCATCTTATCTGATAGTCAAGCAGCGTTAAAGGCGATCAACTCAGTATCAATCAATTCGAAATTGGTCAAAGAATGCATAGAGAAGCTGAATAAATTAGGCAAAGAAAACAAGTCCTCCTACACTGGGTGCCTGCTCACCAAGGGATAGAAGGCAATGAAAAAGCAAATAATCTAGCTAGGAAAGGAGCGAACACTCCACTAACTGGACCAGAACCGTTCTGCTTTCCAAGTGGTAACCAACTCAAGGCGGAACTAAAGAACTTGGAAGATTCCATCCGCAACCTGGAATGGAAATCTTGCAATGGTCTAAGACACTCGAAGAAGTTTCTGAGGGCTTATGATCAAGAAAAATCACAGACCTTCCTGGGTCTGAGTAAGAACAATCTTCGGATTGTCACGGGGTTTTTAACAGGGCACTGTCTCCTCAATGAACACCTCAGTAGATTGAAACTAAGAAGAAACGGCGAATGCAGATTCTGTGGGGAAGATGGGGTAACACCAGTACACCTCATCACTGAGTGCCCGAGACGACAACCATTCGTGCCATGAATTTTGGTACGACTGATATTGGAGATGGAGAACTACCCTCTATAAAACCGTCCCAGATACTGGCTTTTGTCAAAGCCCTGGGACTGTATGATGAGTTATGATTCAAGAAAGGGGGACACAATGGATCTGTAAGGTCGAAGTGATTAACCCCCTCCCACTCATTCTAAATTTTAAAAAAAATTCTACTGGAGAGGAGCCCTATATGCGGTAAACGACTTTTTTGTTGATGTTTAATCATGAACAATTTTGAATTTTAAAATTTTGATCATCTCACACACTGGTTAAAGGTCTAGTATTTAATATTTAATAGTTTATAACTGTTACATGATTTTATCCATTTACAATTTTCCTTTTGTAAAATTTTCTTCATACGCCTGTGTTCTACAATGTCCATGTTTGTTTTATTTGTAATTTTAATGACGTAAATTTTTTTGAATTGATTTGTATTGTATTACATTTTTTTTATTATTTGTATATTTTTTTTGTGCTTTTGGCTTTTTGTACAATAAAGCGTTGTTTATTATTATTATTATATAAAACTTTAACTCTCATTTTCTCTATAATTATCTTTTAGGACTTGATCCAGTTCACTTCTGAACACTTCATATAATAATATAATGGAGTACCCAGTCCACCTGCATTGTGAAAAGCCTGCAATTTGAAAAGTGATAAGAAACAAACAAAAATATGACGTGATATTCCTATATGAACATATTTCTGTTTAAAGTGCATTTTGGAATTATAGATATAAATAATAGTTTAAGTAGGTATAAAAGTAATTACTTAATAATGTTAAAAATATCGATGCATCATTTTAGACAAAATCATGTAATAATTATTGAAATATTATCCTTATATACAGGGTGGCGCACCTCATTCACCTCGGTTATTGATTATACAGAAACGGAAAGATGTATGACTAAATAGACCAGCAATTTTTGATACCCCTGTATACATTTAAGGAAGCAATAAAATTGTTTAGTAAAGTTTATTTCTCTGGCTTCAAAGTCAGCACAAGAATTAACTCTGAAAAGTAATGTACAGGGTGTTTATAAACTTTTTTATTATACCATGCATATTTAAATATCTTTAAATATCTCAAAAACCAAAGAATTTAAACATATTAAACCCTTATAATAAATACCTTATTTTACGCCTAAGAATCCAAAAATGAAATAAAATACCGGGTGTTACATATACCCATAAGAAATTTTGTTTCTACATCTTTCCGTTTTTGTATAATCCACCGAGGCGAATGAGGTGCGCCACCCTGTATACACTATCGGACAAAAGTAAATAAAGCAACTTTTCTGATAAAATGAGGGATTCAAATATTTAAAATTAAATTATTGTCTATGGAAGTATGTGGTTTAAACGGTCATGGTAGACTGTAACAGTCTTATTTTCAAAAAAAAAATATATTAATGAAATATAATCATAACAAAAGAAAAGTTTTATTATATCGGGATTCCCCCCATCGATTAAAAATTCATAAATTCAAGAATACATTAAATAAATCATTATTAAGAATTAAATGGCGCCTATCAGACAGTTCTTAAGTTTATCTTTTATTAAATTAAGTTCTTTAAGTTATATTGTTACTCTAGATAATTCCATACACTTATTATATTTATCTTTATTTTATTCTGATTAAAAAAATCAGATCATATAAATTATATGCTTAAGAGTCTATTACGCTGTACCGGGTGGCCAACTCAGAATGGACGCCGGCTGTATCTCAGAAACTACTTATCGTATAACTTTGGGAAAACAATTCTAATAAGTAAATCGACCAAGAGAAATCGCTGGAAATTATTTTCAAGTTCGAAAAATGCCCGGTAGGGGGCGTTTCTCTAATAGCCAATCAGAAAACAGGATTTTTCTCAGAAATATGCAGGTGAACAAGGTATTTTAAATATTACCGTTGGAGCCCCAGTTTGTTTCAATCGCATAACCGAAACCAGAGTTATCCTTATTTTAATAAAAGCAAGTTTAACCTTCCCCCACCACTTTATTTTATGAGATAGAGCAAAATACTCTATATCAAAAAAATTACAAATTTCTCGATGATTACAACAGTAATATTTAAAATACCTGTTCACCTGCACATTTTTTAGAAAAATCCTGTGTTCTGATGGGCTATTAGAGAAACGCACCTAGCGGGCATTTTTCGAACTTGAAAATAATTTCCAGCGATTTCTCTTGGTCGATTTACTTATTAGAATTTTTTTCTCAACGTTATACGATAAGTAGTTTCTGAGATAGCGCCGGCGTCCATTCTTAGTTGGCCACCCGGTACTTTCGGGTCGCTCTCAGGGGTCGGGTAAAGCGGGTGTGTGGCCGAAGGAAATATATATTCTTCTTTCTCAGCCTGGTTCCATCCAGTGTTGGATATAGGCCACTTCTAGGTTTTTCCATGCTTCGCGATCTCTAGCCAATCTTATCCATTGTCTTCCCGCCACTACCCTGACGTCATCGACCCATCTCTTTTTTGGTCGGCCCATATATTTGGTCGGCCCATATATTTGGTCGGC